TGCAGGGCGAGGTGCCAGCTGGGAGGGACACGGGGACAGACAAACAGAGCTCCCCTGCTCCCCCCCTGGGGATCCCTGGGCAGCTGTGCTGGCAGGGACAGCTGGTAACCCATCCAGGCTGGCCCTGGGGACACGGCTGACACGGGCTGGGGGTGGCTGGCAGGGCTGGCCCTGCCTGGGGACGGGTGGGTGGCAGTGGGGACAGTGAGGGCAGTGGGGCTCTGTGCAGAAGCATCAGCAAAGTCAACTCTCACACCCCTTCTCCAGTGTCACCTCGGTGTGCAGGGACACTTCCATGTCACTCAGCCCCAGGCAGCTCCCACCTGCCCCTGCCCCGACCAGCACCAGGAAGGATGAGACCTGTACCCCTAAAATGCATTCTAAACAACAAAAAAAAAAAAAGCCCAAATTCTTGTGCAATCTCTCATTAAGGTGAACGAGACATTACAAGGGGCAGCTCCTGGGGCAGCCAGGACCCAAATGCCTCTGGGTTTTATGCCATGAAACTGCTTAGTGGTGTCTGGGGCAGGTAGAAGGGGCACATCCCAGCACCTGGAGATGCCCCAGACGTGCCTCTCGCTGGGCATGGCCCCTGTGTCCCTGCTGTGCCCCCTTCCCGCAGGCTGAGCTCACGGTCGGGCTCTTTCCCAGCCCAAATCCATCTGTGTCAAGCTGGGGCGGTGACTGGAGCCAGCCTGGACTGCGGGATGAGGAATGAGGACATCCAGGGCCATCCCCGAGGACAGGGCAGGGGAGCAGCCCAGGCAGGGTCGGGCCATCCCCCCCCACGAGCTCCTGTCCCCTCTCAGTGCCAGGGCACAAAGGAGCAGCTTTGTGCTCGTCCCGAGGGACGGGCTGGACCCGCTGCAGGGCTGGGGGGCCACAGAGCTCCACCAGCTGCTCCGAGCAGGAGGGGACACGAGCAGCAGCCTGTGCTGTCACCAGCCCTGACATTTCCAGCTGGAACAAAGCCTGGCTGCCAAAGCCAGGCTGTTCAGTCCCGATTTATTGCGCAGGACCCTCCGACGAGCCGGGCACAGCGGGCAGAGGCACGGACAGGAGCCGGGACCTCAGCCCGCCGCTGCCAAAGGCTCATTAGCGTTGGGGTTCGGCGCTGTGATTGACCGGGAACTGCTGCTCCCGCTGCAGCCCGGCCCTTCCAGAGATCAATAAACTAATTACGGAGGCAAATAACGCGAGGGCGAGAAGGGGAGAGGCGGGAAAGGGAGGAAGGAACCGGCTGAAGGGAGGTCTGGCAGGAGCCGGGTTCCCCCGGGAGAGCCCCCGACCCACCGGGGCTGCGGAGAGCCCCGGATCAGTGGGGGCTGGATGCTGCCCTGGGCGCAGGTGAAGGCGCCAGCGCCTCTCCCTGCCCATCCATCACCGCTGCAGACGCTGCCCGATTAGATCTGGCAGCCACCAGCCTGGTCCTGCCGCGCCTCGGGGTGCGGGGAGATGGTCCAGACCTGTTTATCTGGCTATTTTGCAGAGAGCAAAGCCTCCCCCAGCCCAGGCATCCCTGCAGTGGAGCCTGGCAGCCTCCAGCCAGGCGTCGGCAGAGCCACCAAACCACCCGCGGCTGCCGGGCTGGAGATGGGAAGGGAAAAGGCAGGGAAAGGGCAGTGCCACCCAAAGGACCCAGGAGAGAGGAACACCACGGTCATCCCTGCCTGTGCTGGCCCTGTCCCCACGGCCATGGGGGACAGTGGGGTCCCTCTGAGGGCAGGAGTGGGTTTGGGCACGGCAGAGGCAGAGCTGCTTGGGGCCAGCTCTCCAGAGAGAGAGAGATGAGCATCTTCAGGAGGTGATGAACCTCGGGGATCCTCAGGTTGGCTGCGCTCAGGAGCAAATCCTTCCCCTCCTGACTGCTGTGAAACAGCAGCTGCCCCCCAGTTCCCCTCCACCATCTCACAGCCCAGCCCAGAGAGCTCCAGTCCAACACAGTCTCCCTCATTCCTGCAGAATGCTGGAGATGTCACTGCCTGCCCTCCACGGATCTGGGAGAAAGGCCGGCTCACCCTACCCCTCCATTGGCATCCAAACCCGGCTCCTTACAACACTCATTTCCAGGACAGGGGTCGAGAGTGCTGTTTTCCACTGGGACTCTTGCAGAACCTCTGGGAATAGATGGCGGAAAACTTGGAAGGACTTTAAAAACTTCTCTGTGGTCATGTAAGTGCCGTGCCCCTCTCCCAGGGGTTATTTCGGCCGTGTGGGAAGGGGCTGTGCCTTTCTCCTCTCTCCAGCCCTGCCAGTAAATTGCTTTTCAACACAGTGGATGCTTCCCAGGCAAAAGGACAAAGAGGAGTTTATCTGCCAGCACCAAAGCAGCTGCTGGGGTACAGCGTCTCACCAAACCAGGGACCACCCAGAGACACAGATCAGACTCTGCACTGGGCTTTAATTCAACCCTAAATCTAAACAGGATAAAAAAATATGTCTTCAAAAGGCTCAAGGACAGATTCTCAACTCAGCCAGCTGCTGCTGCCCTCCTCCTGGATGGATGTCAGCTCTGATCAGCTCCTCAATACACACCGGGCCATCATTTCATTAGTTTTATGGGGGTTTTAATGAAGATCAGATCTGGGTTTAGCCAAGCGAGATTGCTGGCTGGCTTCTCCCAGCTCCCTGGCCCCAGCTTCCCACGGAGGTGGAAGGGAAGGGCTGGGGGTGGCTGGAGCCCTGATGCTCTGCTGGCAGCCCCAGCCAGCTGGAAGCACCCCGGGGTCCCTGCACTCCTCCTGCCCTGCCACTCCATCCCCCTGGCACAGGGGGAGGATGATGCTCAGGACCACACTGGGGGCTGGGAGAAGCCACTGCCAGCCTGGGGTGGTCTCAGTGCCAGGGCAAGGAGGGGGGGTTTTGGTGTCCTGCTGTGGCTTGGTGCCCAAGGGACCCAGGGAAGGGATGTGGCAGCGTCACCTACTCACGGGAGAAACCGAGGAGGCAGCAGGGAAGTGCACACAGGGAAGGTTGTACCATGCTCTTCCCACTGCCGAGGGAAGGGCACAGCCAGGGCATCCCTCCTGGGCACAGGAACCAGCCAAGAGAGGATAAAACAACTGTGAAAAGGTCACAGGGCATCAAACCCCTGTCCCGTGCCACGCTGGCACACAGTGCTCCCTCCTGCACAACGATGGTCCTGGGGGCACCTGCAGCCAACCCTGCCTGGAGCAGCATCCCAGGGATTGCCATTCCTCAGGAAACCCCAAGGGGAACACCCACAGAGGTCCAATCCCCCACTCACATCAGCCAAACCATCTCCAGCCCCACCTTCCCTCCTCTCACAGTTACTGGGATATTAATTTCCACATCATCTCTACCAGAAGGAGTTTTTTCCTGCCTCCTAAAGATTTATGAGGCTGATAATGACTCTCCCTCGTGCTCCAGGACCTGATGTCTTTAGATCTGCTTTGGGACGTGGATGGTGAAGTGCAAAGGAGAACCTCCCATCACAATCAGCAGCCTCAGCACTGGGCTCTTTGTTCCCAGTCACTCTTAATTTCCTGCTTTCTATTGTCTCTTGGAGAAGTGATGGAAAGGAGGGCAGGAATAGCGATTATTTAATTGCTTGCAAGACCTCAAACCAGAACAGAGGTTATCTGCCCCAAACCTCTCCTTTTTGGTTTTCCTCCTCCAGTTGTCATCACTGGGTCACTGCAGAGGGAGAGGCTGTGGCAGGAGCCACCTGTATTGCACCAGTCCCCAGAGACCCCAAATATTTCAACATCACCTTCCCATCACCCAGGTGTGAGGAGCAGCAAGGACCTGCCTTGGCTTGTCTTTGGAGGCAAAAATCCTGGGGTCAAGGCACTCTCAGCTTCCCAGGAGACTTTGGGAGACTTCACTGGGGTCATGGCATGGCCATCATGCTGCCATCACCCCATCCATCTCCTGGTGGCCCTGCAGACATCAGGAGAAGCTGAGCCAATGGCTGGAAGCAAAATGTTGCTCCTACAGCAGGAGCCAGTCAGCGAGGCCACGGCTGTGTTAGGAGAAGGAGCCAAGGGGTCCTGTGGGATGTTTCCGTCTGGAAGCCCCGTGAATCCAGGCAGGTCCCACCATGCTCTGAGGAAATCAGGATCCCTACACATGTCCCTGGGCCCCTGTTTTGGGCACCCTCTGCCACGCACCAACAGCCTCTGAGGGCAGGAGAGGCTCCAGTGCCAGGCACGCAGCACCCAGAGCTGGGGAGATTCCCGGCTGGGCTCGCCGGGGGGGGCTGGCAGGGCTGCGGGCAGGGTGGGCACCGCGGGAGAGGGAACGCGGGCAGGGTGGGCAGCGTGGGCAAAGGTGGGCAGCGCGGGGTGGGCAGCGCAGGGCGGTGCGGGCTGTCCCCGCCCCGGCCCCGCAGAGCCGCCCCGTGCGGGGCGGGGCGCAGCCGGTGCTGGTCCAGCGGCGGAGCCGCGCCGGGAGCGGGTGCGCGGAGCCGAGTGGAGCAGTGCGGGGCTGTGCGGGGCTGTGCGGGGCCGGGCAGGGCCGAGCCGAGCGGAGCCGAGCGGGACGCGGGCGCTGCCGGTGCCTCCCCGGTGCCCGCGGGGCCGGGGCGGGCTGAGGCGGCGGGAGCAGGTGAGCGGCGGGACAGCCCCGCACGGTGCCCCCCGGCAGCGGAGCGATGGGTCGGGGGGTGGGGGGCTCCTCTGCCCCGAGCTTGTCGCCCAGCGGGGCCGTCCGGGCTCGGGGTGCCGGTCCCGGCTGGGAGGGAAGGGGCTGGCAGCCGCAGAACGGCCGGGCGGCAGGGACGGGTTTCCACCGGCGCTCGGTGCTCCCGGGCATCAATTGCACCCACCGGGTCACACCACTTAGAGATGGGGGGTCGTGAGAGCTCCGATATCGCCAGAGACAGGAGGAGCTCTGGCGTGTCCGCACAGACCACTCGGGGAGGGGAACCTCTCTGCTGGGAGCACCTCTGCCACGGAGCTTGGCAGCAGGGTGGGCAGATGCTCCCTAGGAATCCCTTCATTTCTGCTTACTCTCTGATTTCTAGAATCTTCTCCTCTACCCCCAGAGCAAGGGAGGATGACATCTCAGCTCCTCTGAGCCAGCAGTGCCCAGGGACCAGCAGAGCCATGGAGCTGGAATACGAGCTGCCCAACACCACTGCCTTCTGGTTCTCCCCAGCTTCCCCCTTTGACAACTTCTCCCTGGAGGCTCCCACCAACACCTCACAGAACTCCACGGGCCACCACTTCGACCTGACCAGCAATGCCATCCTCACCTTCATCTACTTCGTGGTCTGCATCGTGGGGCTGTGCGGGAACACGCTGGTCATCTACGTCATCCTCCGCTATGCCAAGATGAAAACCATCACCAACATCTACATCCTCAACCTGGCCATCGCCGACGAGCTGTTCATGCTGGGGCTGCCCTTCCTGGCCATGCAGGTGGCCCTGGTGCACTGGCCCTTCGGCAAAGCCCTCTGCAGAATTGTCATGACGGTGGACGGGATCAACCAGTTCACCAGTATCTTCTGCCTGACGGTTATGAGCGTCGACCGGTACCTGGCTGTGGTCCACCCCATTAAATCTGCCAAGTGGAGGCGGCCCAGGACAGCCAAAATGATCAATGTGGCCGTTTGGGGCGTCTCCCTGCTGGTGATCATGCCCATCATGATTTATGCTGGGGTGCAGCACAACCATGGCAGGAGTAGCTGCACCATCATCTGGCCGGGAGAGTCGGGCGCCTGGTACACGGGTTTCATCATCTACGCCTTCATCCTGGGCTTCCTGGTGCCTCTCACCATTATCTGCCTTTGCTACCTGTTCATCATTATCAAAGTCAAGTCCTCGGGCATCAGAGTGGGCTCCTCCAAGAGGAAAAAGTCCGAAAAGAAAGTCACCAGGATGGTCTCCATCGTGGTCGCCGTCTTCATCTTCTGCTGGCTCCCCTTCTACATCTTCAACGTCTCCTCGGTCTCCATCATGATCGTGCCCACCCCTGTCCTCAAGGGCATGTTCGACTTCGTGGTGGTCCTCAGCTACGCCAACAGCTGTGCCAACCCCATCCTTTACGCCTTCCTGTCCGACAACTTCAAGAAGAGCTTTCAGAATGTGCTGTGCCTGGTGAAGGTCAGCGGCATGGACGAGGCGGACCGGAGCGACAGCAAGCAGGACAAATCCAGGCTCAACGAGACCACGGAGACCCAGAGGACCCTGCTCAACGGAGACCTGCAGACGAGCATCTGAGGGGACGGCGGGGTTGTCCTTCCTGTGCTCTCCTCTCCCCGCTTGCTCCCAGCAGGGTGGTGGCACGTGTGGAGTCAGGGCAGGAATGCCAGCTGAGGGGAGGGCAGTGAGCACCCCCTGGGCACTGGGTCCTCGGCTGGGCTCCTCCTGAGCTCTGCTTGGTTGGCTTTCAAGCACTGGGAAGGATATGGATCAAGAGGAGCTGCCTCACCAGGAAAACAAAGACAACTCACGGCGACGCAGCGCATTTCAACACCAAAGTGCCACCGTGGCCACAAGTGTCACTGGGGTGGCTCTGCTGGCTCCCCCGTGTCACCCTCGGGGCTGGTTGGCTTTTGGAGCTCTGCTCCTGCACGGGTGGGTGCACATAGACACATGGGGTGACCTCAGGAGGGGCCGAGGCCACGGGTGTGTGATAACATGGAGATGCACTGACCTGGTGGGAGCTGCCAGTGAGCTCCTGCCATCGCCCTCCCCAGGAGATGAGGATGTTTGGGGGTCGCGTTTTTCCTGGGTTATCAGTTCCTCCACTGCCCCCCCCCCAGAAGCCTCCCTGCGCTGTGTGACCGCACTGCTGGCAGCAGCCGCCCCGCCCGGAGGGGCCACTCCAGGATGGAGGCGACTTCCCCACGGGAAGCAGCTCTGCCGCCTCTGCAGCCCCTCTGGTCCCACCACGCTCCTGCCCTGCCTCCTGCAGCCCTGCCATCTCCCGCTGCAGGAGAGCCCTTTCCTTCCTCCTGCCGTGACATCACCTGCCCGCAGATTTTCTCCTCGGATGGAGGATTTCCCCCTTTTCCCTCCCCAGTGGCCGCTGCCCCTCCCGCCACCCGCATCGGTCCCACGCTGCGCCGGCTGCCGGGAACCGGGAACGCCGCTCCGAGCAGCCCGGCAGGACCGCCCAGCTCCGGCCCCTGCTGGGAAATCCTTGGAAGTATTTAAGCAGCAGCGACACGTCGGGGGTTTGGAGTACCTTTGGCACGGGCTCCTGCACCTGGCTGAGATCTGGCTTTGTCCGGCCCCGGCTCCGAGGATCCCTGGGGTGACACCCGCCCTGCTCCTTCCAGGCAAGTCACGCTGGAGATTGGGGTGATGGAGAGGACGAGGGACGGGAGGTGGGGGGTGCCGGGGGCTTGGCCCCCAGCCCACCCGAGCCAAAGGGAGCAGGCAGAGCAGACAAGAGGGCTTCCAGCACCTGGGAACGAGGAAGAGCAGGGCAGCACATGTCCTGGATCCTGCACAGGGTGAGGGGTGGTGGGACTGACCCATCATCTGCTGTATTTGGCTTCCCAAGACTGTCCTGGAGCGCTGGGCTCTGTCCCTGTCTGCCCTCCCAGCTCAGCACAGCCCGGGGCTCTGGAGCCCTGACCCCCGGCAAAGCCCCTCCTCGGACAGTGCAGCAGGAACGCGAGGGAAAGCCCAGGGGAGAGGGAGAAGTGCCGTCTTCCTGCCGGAGCAGCCGGAGCAGCCTCTGTGCCAGAGGCCAGAGCTGTTCACAGGCTCTTGCTCCAGAGCTGAGCCGTGGGAACGCGGGGGTTTAGGTAGAGAAAACAGCCGGGTCTCGCTCACCCTCCCCTTTCTGGGCTCCCCCTCACCGGGGGATGCAGAGCCTTCACCTGGCACCACAGTCGATGTGGGGGGTGGAGGTGAGCATTGCCCACGAGGTGCCACCTGCTCTGGGGTGCCACCTTGCTCAGCCACACGCCCACAGTCGATTCTCTGAGAGCACCAGCTCTGGGAGAAGTTTTCCCATGGCTCTGCCCAGCTCCTGCAGCAAGAACCTGCTCGGGGCATCACATCCTGCTGTGCCAGGCCCACCAGCTCCCCAAAGAGGGCTCAGTGCCAGGCTGGGTACCTGCTCCCCGGCTCTGCTGGACACAGCACAGGGCTCAGGGGTTTTCTGCAAGACAAAGCAAAGCCTCGTCAGCATTTCTTTGCTTTTAACTATTTCCTGCTCCTCCGAGGAACGTGTGACAGTGTTCAAGAGCTCAGAGGCACCGGGTGGGCACCTCCCTGTCCCCTGGCTAGGCACCGAGCGCGTCCCAGCGCCACTGGGGGGGAGGAAAGCCGAGCCCAGGTTCCCTGCTGATGCTGCAGGAATTAAAACAGCAGCAGCAGGTCATGCCACAGGGAAATACGGGCTGGGGATGGCTGGGAGCAGCAGAGCCCATGCTGGGATGAGGATCTGTGTCACAGCCGCAGTGATGCGTCAGTGGGGCCGTGGGCACTCCGTGCCTGGTGGGTGGGGAGGGAGGTGTCTGTGTGGGGGGTGGGGATGAGATAGGAAGGGGGGTGTGGAGCCCCCAGCACTCACCTGCAGTGGGGCCAGACCCAGATTTGCCAGCGACTGACTTGTCCGTGCAGTCCCTGCCATCGAAATCCCAATGGATGGGGGGGGGAGACTCCTGTTCCCAGCTGTACCCCACATGGGTCTCCAGCAGGAGCCTCCAGCTGGGAGCACCCCCTCTCTGTGCTGGTTTAAGGTTGAAATACAGGAAGCTTGGCTTCCTAGCCCTCGGAAGGACCCATGCCCAGGTCAGCTTTGTCCTGGCAAACTCCCCAGGCAGTGACACTCCTGGCAGCTCAGAGCTGTGATCCAAAATAATTTCCCCTTTTTGCACTCGGGGACTCTCCTGAGATGGGGATAATGAAGCTGCAGGTGAGGAATGAGGGGCATGGAGCTCTGCCAACAACATCCCAAAGGCCACCAAGGTGGGATGTGCCAGGGCAGGGGCACAAGGTGGTTCCTGGGAGCTGCAAGGACTCCCCACAGCCACCTTTCCACAGATCAACAGGGAAAAAGGGCAGGAGAGAGGAACATGCCCCCTTGGATTGCCTGGGGAGGGAGCCAACAGCCACAGCCCAGCGCTCACAGTAAAACCAGCAAAATAAAACCTTCTGCTTGTTCACTGCTGACTAATAAACATCAGCACCGCTGCTGCTGCCAGTAACGAAGTTTTCCTTCCCAGCCACTTGATTTTAGTGGGAACTTGACCTCATATTGGATCTACTCTGCAAAGCCTCGCAGGGCTGCTGGAGGCACGATGAGAAACTTCTGCTGGTTATGGCAGAGCCAACAGACTGGTCTAGCCCCAGAGTGCTTCACACACAGACTGCCCCCAGGCAGGAGGGATTAGTGACAGCTCCCGCCTGGAGGGGCGGGAACAGCATCAACACAGACCAGAGGTGATGGGTAGCACAGACCTGGGTGTTCCATAAGCTCTCCAGCCCCGTTTGTGTGACAGTGCTGCCTCACCTGGGGGGTTTGCAGTGGGTCGGTCCTGCAAGAGACTTCCAGTCCCAGCACGGGCTGAGCATTATCCCAGCTGCTCCCACATTATCCCAGCTGCTCCCACCTGTGCCCACCTGGCTCTGTGTGCTGTGGTGGCCAGTGCCTCCCAGTGCTCTGTAGCCAAACTCCACTCAGGTGGGCGGGAGAGGCTGGAGCTGGACCTGGAGCCTTCCTCTTGCATCCCTACAGCTCCTCACGTCAGCACCAGCGCTGCCTTGGACTTGTTTAAGGTAACCATCTCCTAAGGACCAGCACTGCCATGTCTCCAGAGGGCTTCCCGACTCTGGCACAGTGGGAAGAGCCTTGTCTTTGATGGAGACTCCACAGAGAGGTCCCTTCCTTCCCAGGCCTGCCTCATGGTCCCCACACAGCTCTGTCCCAGCAAGGAGAGCTCCCAGGCTCGGATCTGTGCCGGAGTGGCTCCACTGCCACATCTTGGGGGGTTCGTCCAGTCCCTGCTGTGAACGAGCCGATTTCAAACCCCTCAGGGAGAGTCTCCATCTCCTCCTCCGGGGCTGCTCCAAGGGGGAATCACCACCAAGGCACGGGTAGAGGGCACAGCAGACCCCAAACCTGCCTTCCCCCTGCTGAGTCAGGACAGGAACTGCTGCTTTCCGACCCCAGGACACCTCTGCTCTGAATCCCAGCCTCGCACCTGCATCTCCTGGTGGATCTCAGCCCCATTCCCTGCCTGCTCCAGGACCTGGACTGCAAAAAGCCAGGGCAGGAGGAGAGCCAGACTGTGGGGATCCTGCTTGGAGCCGTGTCCTGCCCAGGAGATGCCAAAGGATGCAAAGCCTGGACACTGCATCCGTCCTGCCCCGTGCTGTGTGTGCAGGAGGAGGGGCGGGATGGGGGATTGTACATACCTGTATATAGTGGACATGCCCAAGGGGTTATTCTGTACCCTGACACAGCCCCTCGGAGGGCCCCTGGCTCCCCTCACCCTCTCCCTGTGCCATGGGGCTGGTGGCACCGTGCACAGCCAGGAGGGACCCCAGAGGCTGCTCCCACACTGACAGGAGACTTCTGCCTCTGCTAAACCCACCAGCCCTTCCCTGCCCAGCCGGGGCCACAGCCATCCAGGGTCCCACCCCCTGTCCATGCCCCGTGTCCCTAGCTGTGCTCTGGAAGTGCCCATGGATCTACTGTGCCCGGGACACACCAAGGGCGTGTCCCTGCTCCCAGCCCTGCTCTTCTCCCCCGCAGTCATTGCTCGGTGTCCTGGGGTGGGACTGAACCTTCCCACTGCAAAGGCTCCCAACTGCCACGGTCTGTGCCACAGGGAGGGGGTTGTGGATGGGGAGGGAGGGAAGTAAAAGAGTTTTCCTACAGTTTCTGGATGTGTGTGTGTGCGTGCGTGTGTGTGTCGGAGCTGGGGAGCAGCAGGATATGACCCAAGCTTGAACACCTCCCTGGGAGACAATCACAGAATTACTGAGGTCAGAAAAATCTCCTGAGACCAGAGTCCAACCATCCCCCAGCACTGCCAAGGCCACCACTCACCCATGTTCCCAAGAGCCACATCCACAAGGCTCTGAAATCCCTCCAGGGATGGGGACTCCACCACTGCCCTGGCAGCTGTGCCAGGGCTGGACAGCCCTTTCAGGGAAGAAATTTTCTCAGTATCCAACCTGACCCCCCCCCCAGCACAGCTTGAGGCCATCTCCTGTCATCCTGTCCCTTGTTCCCTGGGAGCAGAGCCCGACTCCTCCCAGCTCCCCCCTCCTGTCAGGGAGTTGCAGAGCAAGAAGGTCCCCCCTGAGCCTCCTTTTCTCCAGGCTGAGCCCCCCCAGCTCCCTCAGCTGCTCCTGCTGCTCCAGCCCCTTCCCCAGCTCCCTTCCCTTCCCTGGACACCCAAACCAGGCACCAATCCTGGAGTCCAACCAAGAGAGAGAAAAGGAGCAACCAGTTCTTCCCCCCATCGATCTCCATGAAACATCACCACAAACAGGCACGAGGGGTCTCAGAGACTCAGAGTGAGCAGCTGGACAGGGGAAGCTTCTCTTCCCAGGGTGGCAACACCTCTGGGCTGGATTTGATGAGATCAAGGGTGTGTAAAGTGCTGGGGGGGTCGATCTGCTGGAGAAACCAGCCCTGGGAAGAGTGTGTGTGCTGGGAGAGGAGGAAAACACACCGGTGTAAAGAGATTGACTCTGCCATAAACCAGAATTTTATCAACTCCTAGAGACTGAAATTTTATAAACTGAAAGTTTGTCTCTGAACAGCTGCACAGCCCAGCAACATCACCACTTACCGTGCAAATAAAACAAATCACTCCAAAAAAAAACCTTGATTTTTTTTTTTTCTTCCCATTCTTACTTCCAACACCAAAGGGGTTTTATGGGATTTGGGCACAACGAGACCACACACCCTGGGTTACTCCAGCATCTCCCATGGTTACTCCATGGGAGTTACTCCTGGTTACTCCAGCATCCCTCCTGCCCGGCTGGAAGGACCCTTAAAGCTCATCCAGTCCCAAACCCCTGCCATGGGCAGGGACACCTTCCACCAGACCAGGTTGCTCCAAGCCCTGTCCATCCTGGATGGATTTTGGGGGGACATCCCGGCGCTCAGAGCGGGGCTGTTTGTACCGAGCCCTCCCCAGACCCAAACGGCCCCTCCTGGGGTGTGTGGAGCGAGAGCGGCACCCTCAGGCCGCGGGGCCCGGCCCGTTTACCGGGGAAACGGGCAAGAGAATAATTAAATAAATAAGCAGATAAATAAATAAATAAAATAAACAACGCGATGTTTCCCCCCCCGCGCGTCGCCACGGGAACGCGGCTCTGCCCGGCACAAAGATGGCGGCGGCGCCGCCATGGCAACGACGTGCGGGTGAAGCTCTGCCCGGCTCAAAGATGGCGGAGGGCGCGGCCATGGAAACGGCGCCCGGGTGCTGTTCTGCCCGGCTCAAAGATGGCGGCGGCGCCCCGCCAGCGCGGCCCGGAAGGACCGGCCCCTTCCCGTGAGCAAGATGGCGGCGGCGGCGCCTCCGCCGGGCCCGGCCGGGCCCGGGGCGATGGCGGCGCGGGGCGCCGAGGCCGAGGCGCTGTTCGAGGCCCACACGGCGGCCGAGCTGCGGGCGGTGGAGCGGCGGCTGCGCGCCGGCATCGAGCAGAAGCGGGAGGAGCTGCGGCAGATGGTGGGCGAGCGCTACCGCGACCTCATCGAGGCGGCCGACACCATCGCCGAGATGCGGCGCAGCGCCGAGCGCCTGCTGGGCGCCGTGCGGGGGCTGCAGCGGGGCGGCTCGGCCCGGCCCGAGCCCCCGGCCACGGTGAGGGGCGAGGGGGGCGGCCCCGGGGCGGCCATCGCCCCTTCTTGCCCTCCTCCATCACCCCTTGTTTCCCCCTCCATCAGCCCTTCTTCCCACCCCAGCCCCTCCCTCTTTTCCCCTTTCTCACCCCTTTTTCCTCCCCTTCTTCCACCCTCATCCCATTTCCTCCGCCTTTTCACCCCTTCATCCCCTCCTCTCCCCCTCCACCTCCTTTTGGGTCCCTTACCTAATTTTGAGGTCCTTGTCCCATTTTTGGGGTCCCTGACCTGTTTGGGGGTCCCTATCCCATTTTGGGGGTCCATGTTCCCACTTTTGGCATCCCTGTCCCATTTCTTGGGTTCTTGACTTGTTTTGGGGTCCCTATCCCATTTCTTGGGGTCCCTGAGATGTTTGGGGGTCCCTGACCCATTTCTGGGGTCCGAGTTCCCTCTTCTCACCCACCCACTCACCCTTTCTGTCTCCTCTCTCCCCCCAGGTTCGCCCCCCGGCCCAGCGCGGGTTCTATGGGGCGGCGGCTCAGCTGAAGCTGCTGCTGGAGGTGCCGGAGCAGGTCTGGGGGGCGGTGGAGGGGGGTCGGTACCTCCCGGCCGCCCGGCTCCACCTGCTGGGCGCCCACCTGCGCCGGCAGCTCCAGCTGGACGCCCCCCGCGCCCGGAGCAGCCCCGTCCTCGCCCGGTTCCCCATCCTGCTGCGCCAGGTGGCCGCTGCCAGCCACCTCAGGTGGGCTGGGAAGGGACGGGTGGGGAGGGGGAGAGGCCCTGGCACAGGTTGCCCAGAGAAGCTGTGGCTGCCCCATCCCTGGAAGTGTCCAAGGCCAGGTTGGACAGGGTTTGGAGCAACCCGGGGGTAGTGGAAGGTGTCCCCTGCCTGTGGCAGAGGGTAGAATGAGTTGTTTTTAAAATCCCTTCCAACCCAAACCATTTGGGTTTCACCTCAGTGTGACTCAGACACAGCCCAGGGAAGGCAGGAGAGAACATGGGCTGCATCAGGGTGGGGGAATTCTTAACCTGTCCTGAGAAATCACCTGTGGGGCTTTAGGTACCTCTGCCCCTTGGTGAGGCAGCTGCACCTGAATCCCTCCCCAGGATCCCACAGGAAAGCCACGTGCCCACTGGCAGGATCCCTGGGCTGTGCCAAGTGTCAAATCTGGGAGCACAACACTCCAGGAATGCCCCTGGAAAGCCAGCAGGCAGGGAAGGCAGGGGATTCTGGGGAGTATCCCATGGCCAGCAGGTACACCATGACAGGCTGCAGCTGACAGGGACCAGGCAGCTTTAAGGTCCCTCCCAACCCAAACCACTCCGTGAGCCCGAGACCAGCTGTGGGACACAAACACCTCACCCAGCCCCATAACACCCTGACAGTCCCTCTTATATCTGGGAAAATAACACCCTGGCTTGGTGGTTATCACACACCACCTGAATGGCTCGGTCAGACACAGCCCCCAGTGACCCCCCACCCTGTTCCCCGGGCAGATCCACCATCCTGCAGGAGAGCAAGGCCCTGCTGCGGTCGCGGGCGGTGTCGGACCAGGCGGTGGCCGAGGCCCTGTGTGCCATCATGCTGCTGGAGGACAGCTCCCCACGCCAGGCCCTGGCTGACTTCCTCCTGGCCAGGAAAATGGCCATCCAGCAGCTGCTCAACCAGCCACACCACGGTCAGTGCCACCGGGATGTGTCCCTGGGAGAGTCGGGGTGACCCTTCCCTTGCCCCCAGAACGAGGGGGGTTATTCCCATGTTTTTCCCATAGATCTCACGGTGGCAGGGACACAGCCACGTCCTGTCACTGCTGGCAGCGCTTTGCCCCAGCAGCAAAAGACCTCCACAGTACACAAAAATTAGCAGTTCTCGGGGTCTTAAGCCAAGCCCACCTGTGATGGGGAAGGAGTGGGGCACGAGGCTGAGTCCTTCACGCTCCAGCCCTTCTCTGGAAGGTTTCCCTAACTCAAAAGCCTTAGAACAGGGTGCCACTCACACCTGCTGGAGGGGCTGCCTGGGCTCAGCGTGGTTTCCCTGCAGGTGCAGGTATCAAGGCTCAGGTGTGTTCCCTGATGGAGCTGCTCACCACCACCCTGTACCAGGCTCACGCTCTGTTCTACACCGTGCCTGAGGGGATGTCCCCGGACCCAGCCCTGCCCTGTGGGTTGCTCTTCTCCACCCTGGAGAGCACCACAGGCCAGCACCCTGCAGGTGAGCACTGCCCCCACCCCGGTGTGCAGGCAGGAGGGTGCCCCTGTGCTGGGCTCATCCCTGACCCTGTGCTTCCAGGCAGAGGGGGGGTTCTGGAGGAGGACTTGAAGCTGAGCAGCTGGTTCAAGTACCTGCCAGAGTCCGTGGTGGAATTCCAGCCAGCCCTGCGGACCCTGGCACACCCCATCAGCCAGGAGCACCTCAGGGAGACCCTGCAGCAGTGGATCAGCATGTGAGTGGCGCAGGGGCCCCCTTTGCAGGGCTCTCCCAGGCTCTGTGTGACCCCTGGGCAGCACAGAGCAACCCCAGATTCCCTGACCACCTCATCCCTCATCCTCAGTTAGACAGGCTGGAATACTGGGACACAACAGCCCAGCTGGGCCACACAGAGACTTGTCTGTACACAATCCCCCAACCACCAGCAAACAAGCACAGAGTAAAGGGCAAGAAGATGCCTTACTTGGCTCATTTGGCCCTTAACCCAGCACCTTCTTTCTCCTCCTTCCTGGGACTGTGTGTGGGAAGCCAGACCCCCTTTATGTAGTTGCCAGCTCTGCCCTATCCCAGCAGGCCATTTCCTGCCTCCCCTTCACAGCCCTGTCCCAATATTTGATGGAGCCACCTGGTCTCCGTGAGCTGCCTCCCCGTTCCTGGAGCACTGTGCTCCCAGCCCAGCGGTGAAATGTTGCCTTCAGGTGCAGTGATGACATCAGGGCCGGGGTCAGCAGCCTGCTGGTGTACGTGAGGAGCATGAAGGGGCTGGCAGGGATCCGAGATGCCGTGTGGGAGCTGCTCTCCAGCGAGTCAGGCAGCCACAGCTGGGAGGCCATGTGCCGGCGGCTCCTGGACAGGCCCGTGTCCCTCTGGGAGGACCTGCTGCAGCAGCTCTTCCTGGACAGGCTGCAGGTGGGTGCTGAGCTGGGGGGAGCCTTGCCCTGTGCCCCCTCCCTTGTCCCAGCCAGCCCACACTGGTGCCTGTCAGCAGCGCTCAGGGCGTGTTTAAGTGGCACATTTAAAGCTGCTTTTCCCCCCTCCTGATTCTGTTCCAGACTCTGACCAAAGACGGGTTCGACTCCATCTCCAGCAGCTCCAAGCAGCTGCTCGCTTTAGCCTTGCAGGAACTGGAAGTCAAACCGGGCAGCTCTGCCCTGAGCAAGCAGATCCAGCTGGAGCACAACGTGGCGCTGTTCCTGTGGTCGGAGGGCCCCGGGGACCTGCCGGCGGACGCGGCGTGGGTGAGCGTGGGGCAGCGCGGGCCCTTCGCCCGCAGCGGGCTGGCCATGAAGGCGCAGGCGCTCACGCCGTGCGTGCAGAGCTTCTGCTCGGCCCTGGACTCCAAGCTGAAGGCCAGGCTGGATGACCTCCTGTCCTACCTCCCCGCGGAGCCCTCGGTGCCCAAGGAGCCGGCGGTGCAGCCGCGCTCTGCCTTCGACCGCTTCGCCGACGCCGGCACCGTGCGGGGGCTGCTGCGTGACCAGTGCGTCGCCTGCGTCCAGCACGTGCTGGGCTGCGTCAGGGAGGAGCTCCAGAGTGCCCAGGGCCTGCTGGGGGGGCAGCTGGGCCCCCCTGGCGATGCCCGGCTCAACGCCGTCCTGTTCATGGCCAGGCTGTGCCAGTCCCTGCCCGAGCTGTGCCCTCACCTGCAGCGCTGTGTCCTGGGCCAGGAGGGTGGCACGGACACGGTGCCCAAGGAAACGCGCTCCAACAAGAAGCTGGGGAAGGGGAAGGCCCAGGAAGTGACCCCTGAGCAGGCCAAGTGGCAGGGCCTGAAGGCAGAGCTCCTGCAGCAGAGCCTGTTGGCTTATCAGATCTGGAGCTCAGCTGTCACCAAGGTAAGGAGCTGTGTCCCTCCTCAGAGCTGATTCCAGTGTGGGGTTCCCTCCCTGGGGTCGGCCCTGGCTGCCAAGAGCTCGCCAGGCTGCTGGGAGAGGAGGGGGTGGCAGCTCGGAGGGGACTCCAGTGGGATGGTCTCCATGGGTTGCTTTGGGAGGTGTGGGGGATGTGGGGATCACAGGCAGGGCAGGCTGTCTGTCCTTGGTCCTGTTAGAGCTGTCTGTCCTCTCACTGGGGCTTTTGGGTTTGTGCTCCAGAGTCTGGTTCAGTGCTTCACCCACACGCTGCTGCTGGACACGGCTGGTTCTGTCCTGGCCACAGCCACCAACTGGGATGAAATTGAAATCCAGGAGGAAACGGAGTCTGGGAGCAGCGTAACGTCAAAGATCCGGCTGCCTGTGCAGGTACGAGGAGCAGGCTGGGGGGAGGAGAGCACTGGGTTCCACCCCACGTGCTGCCCTGCTGGGGAGCTGTTTGGTGTCATGAGCAGAGGACAAACACTCTCTGGTGCTCTTTGAGATACTCACTTTGTAAGGATAGAGGTCACAGGAAGGAAATAGATCCTTGCTGCTGTTTATTCCAATGAAGAAGACTGGCCCAGATCCTGTAAAACTGAGCCAGAGAAGGACTTTGGTTTAAACACAGAGGTCCCAGGAGAGAGATTTCATGGAAATTGCATGCCCTGAAGGACAGGGCTGCAGCAGTGGGATGGTGAAATCCTAAGGGAACCAAGTGTGTGGTTTTCCTTGGGTGTGGAGGTGGTGCAGGAAGGACCTGGGACAAAACAGGTGGCAGTCGGGAGGGGGAGGAGGGCCAGGCCAGGAGTGAGTTCTGTGTTTGCACAGCACAGGAGGGGCTGGACAAGGCAATAGTCTTCTGTAGTGAACCTTATCCAGTGAATTTTATTGATTCTGAGGGAAAAAGCAGCAGGATGAGAGCTTGGGATAGAGAAGAGCGAGGGAGAAACAACCCCGAGGAGCAGGTGTTCAGAGCAGGGTCAGTGGTGACAGGACGGGCACAACAAGCAATTCTGTTCTCACCACACCCAGGTCCCACTTCTGGTGGGACTCTGAGGGCTGCTGGAACCCAAAATCCAGGGTGTCAGTAAATCAAAGCCCAGGAGATGCCTGAGCCAGGCTGTGGGGACAAAGCTTCATGGCTGCTGAGGAAGCAGGAAGCTCCCACCACCCAAGTGAAGGGATGTGGTGCTGCTAAAGCAAACAGAGCTCCCAGACCACGTGGAAGTAAACACTGTTCTTTTCCACAGCCCTCCTGGCACGTCCAGTGCCTCCTGTTCAGCCTGTGCCAGGAGGTGAATCGGGTGGGTGGCCACACTCTTCCCAAGGTGACCCTGCAGGAGCTGCTGAGGACCTGCATGGCAGAGGTGCTCGCTGCCTACCAAAAGCTCATGGAACAGAAGCAGGAGAAGGTTCGTGGGTGGGATCTGCAGGGGGTGTGGGATGGGAGGGTGGCTGGGAATGCAGGGATGCACATGCTCCTGTCCCTTGGAACAGAAAGTGTCTGTTCATGAGAGCTGGAAAGGGGACACTCTTAAACACTCACCCAAAGCTGAGGCAGCAGGGGATCAGACACCACGTTTCACACTCACACCAGCTCAGTTTGGTTGGTTGTGTCTTGGGGCTGGTGTTTTCAAATGTTCCCCTTGGACAGCCCTCTCTGTGCCAGGGAAGAGCCCCATTGCTGCCTGTCCTGTTTCAGAAGGTGGACACCTTCCCCCTGACCCAGACCAGAGCTCTGCAGTTACTCTACGACCTGCGGTACCTCAGCATCATCCTGACAGCCAAGGGTGAGGAGGGGAAGCCCAGCAGGATCAAGCAGGACTCTGGGTGAGGTGCAGTTCTGGGGTTCAGATCCTTCAGCAGGGGCCCTACAACAGTCACAGGAGTCGGGCAGTGCAGGCTCCAAGCTCTGACACTGCACCAACACTGAGCTCACCTTAAAATAGGGGAGGGGTGGGACTCTGTGGCCAGTGCCTGAGGCAGCAGCTTGTTCCCCTCTCCTTGTGTACCCACTGTGTCCATGGGACACCAGGGATACCCTCAGAGGATTCCCTGCAGAGAACTGTTAAGCTTCCACCTGGGAGTTAAAGCCTTGTGTGTGCTCCAGTCTGAGGCATCTTTCAGTGGAAGAGGGAGAAGGTTCCTCTGCCACAGCAGCTGCTGTGGGTTGTGTAAGAGCTGCAAACCCTTCAGGCAGCTGCTGTTCCGCTGAGCAATTCCTGTTCTGCTCAGTCACCTCAGAGAGGAAATCCTGGCTGCTTCAGAGGTGGCACCAGCAGCTGTCAGCAGGATGTCACCCCTGACAGGACCCCTCTGCTCTGCTTTCAGGATTGAGAAGGTGATCGACTTCCTGGAGGGACACATTGATCCCTTCGACTTGGACGTTTTCACTCCACACCTGAACAGCAACTTGAACCGCCTGGTCCAGAGAACCTCCGTAAGGAAAAGGGCTGCAAAATGCCTTTAGAAGGGCAGCTGGGGTGGCTTTAAACTGCTTAATGCCTAAAGATAACCACTGGCACTTCCTTGGAAATGGGAAGAGTATTTAATGCCAGCTGAAGATAAGAGGAGCTGGCTGAGCCGGCTGCGCCGCGTCACCGTGCGTGGAGTTGGCTCAACTTTATCTAACAGGATTCACTGGAGCCTGTGCACCACTAAGTGGCTTAAGTAGTGCTGAAACAGGCCTGGAACTCAACTGTGGGAATAATTAAAAGCAAGAGTTAGAGGGGGAAGGGAGACACTTCATGTTCAAACTTAATGCCAGTGGACTCACCGTGTTCTGTGTGATCAGCTCTGCAGGGCCCCCAAATTCAGACAGCTCCTCGTGCCTTTCAGGTTCTCTTCCCCAAATACAAAACAGCTCCTTCCTGCCTTCCAGGTTCTCTTTGGTTTGCTGACGGGGACAGAGAACCAGTACACGAGCCGGAGTGGGGCACTGAGCTCCCAGGAGCTGCACAACATCCTGCCCTTGGCATCCAGCCAGATCAGGTGAGGCCCTCGGCTCTCCCGGGCATCCTCCTGTCTCTGGGGAAGCAGGTCTGGAATTGCTGCTTCCCGTATCTCTTCCTTCCATCTCCAGGTTTGGGCTCCTGCCGCTGAGTATGTCGAGCTCACGGAAGAGCAAGTCCACTGCCAGGAGCACAGAGCGAGTCCAGGTTGGTACAACTGGGCCCTACAAATAGGAATATCTTGCCAATATGACACTGGAGCTTGGGGGAAAAGAAGAAAGTAGCCAAACAGTTAATATTTCACCTGATTTTTATTTTCGGTAAAATGAGAGTCATTATGGTAACACAGCAGGAGATGGGTTGGATTTCCCCACGACCCTCAAAAAAAACCAAAACCCCTTTGCCCCTGTATTTTTGGGCCACTGCTCTGTGGCAAAACAGGCAATAAGCACCCTGAAATGCAGTGAGGATTTACACAGCTCAGGCATCTCGAGGGCAATGCATCCAAGACAGTTCATTGAGGAGGGGCTGCAAGAAAGGCTGAAGGACAGTGGCTCATGACTGAACTCCTTTGCAGTGGGACGCTGCCCTCTAACCCCGAGGAGCCTGGCCTGGTACCTCAGCCTGTGTGAGGAGTGTGTGCTGCTCTCGCAGGGGCTCCGCTCTGTCCTGTGGCTGAGCTGTAGCAGACAAGCCTTGTGTTGCTACATTTCCCCCAGTTTAAAACATCTGCTTAGATGGAGCTCTGTGTGCTGAGTGAGAGCCAAGGAATACTCACTGCTGTGGGAAGCAGGAATTTCCTTTAGTTATTACCAACCCAATAATCCATCTGTGGTGACGTCCTGGCAAGTGGGCCAAGTTGGTGAGCCTTGACAAGAGTCAGGACAAGAGTTAAAGGTCTGGTTTTATCACATGAGATGATGTTCAGTTCACTCTGCAACTCTCCTTTCTCCCTTACTCAGAACCATTCAGGACCAGACACGACATAAGGGTTGTTTAAAAGCCCAAAGCTTCCCAATAAAGGTATTCCTTACCTCTCATACCTCAGCTGGAGTGGAGCATAGAAGTGTGCAGTGATGTGTGGCTCGCTCCTGTCACTCCCCTCACCTGTATCCTGTGCCAGCCACCCTTCCCAGAATCCCTGACAGCTGCCTGCTCCTTCTTCAATGCTAAATCACTCCTGGAGAGGTTAAAATCCATAGTTCTCCACGACGAGCTCTCTGCAAGGGCAACAGCCGTGCTGCTACCACGCTGTTATCCTTTGCTCTGAGGGCAACAGCCTCTTCCCTGCAGCTCAGAGTGTTGATGTGGGGTTTGTTGAGCACTGAGTGCCATCTGCCAAGTTCCCTGGCTGCTAACAACAGCCAGGTGCTGCTGTGCTGCTGTCCCTGTGTCTGTCTGTCACTAACCCCCAGCAGCAACACCGCGCCGGTCGTGGGTCAGGTTGCCTGGGAAGAGCTGTTCCTGCTGTGGGCTACACCTTGCAGCTCCTGTGGCTGTGAGGGTATGGAGCAAATCACGGGTTTGCTGTAACAGTTATAGTGACTTCTGTGTTTAAAAACTGCCAGGTTGCAGCTCCTGTGCTCCCCAGAGAAGACGAGGCCTCTCGCCCGGGCTCCCTGTTCAGGCAGCTCGTCACCGAGGACGAGGACACGGCGGCGCCTTCGCTCTTCAAGCTGGGCTGGCTCTCGGGCATGACCAAGTGAGGCAGCAGCAAATAAAACGTTGGGCTGTGTGTCTGTCTCCTCTGAGATCCGTCTGTCCCCTGGGCAGGACCGGTGCCACCTCCAGGATTGTCAGTGCTTCCCATTCTCAGCCGGATCAGGGTGCGTCACTCGAACCTCGGGATTGTCCTTGTCCCCTGGCTGCTGGAGCAGAGGGGGAGCTGCTCTTTCACCTCCTGTTCCTTGCATTGTTAACCTTAAAGTCAAATTAAAGAAAAAAAAAAATCCCCAAACAACCTACACACTAACAGAAAACAAAACATTTCACAGCTAGAAACGGGTGCTGGAGCAGGGCAAGACTCCTCTGTCCTGCTCTGAGTGGCCCCAGCAGGACCTGCACAAGCTCTCCTGGGTCTAATTTCACATTTTCTTGTGAGGCTCATGTGAGATAAGACTCCTCACACTGAGCTGGGTGGGAGCTCACAGCTGCCCAGGCCTAAGGACCTGCAGTCACTGCTCCTATTCTTAACTGTTCTTACTAACTCTAAATGCTCAAAAAATTATGTTGCCAAATCATTTTTTAACTAGTTTATTGAAATTAAAAAAAGACTTATAAAACTGAAGAGGAACGCTTAAGAGAACTTTACAGAAAGCAACAACTTGCTAACAAACAGATTAGGCAGTCGATTGGAATTGGACAGTTTGCAATCCTATAACACACATGTGGACTCCTCAGTCTCCTCTTGCCACGCACTTTAGAACCATCCCAAAAAGAATCCTATAAAAATTGCTTCAAAGCCCCTTTTGCATTGCAATAGTGCAGCAAACCACAAGTAAACAATCTCCTGTTAACCTGTTATTTCAAATATAGACTGAAAAGGCAACAGGCAATTTTGTGCAATTCCATGTTAACAAACTTTGAAGTTGAAATATCAAATCTACACAGTGCTGTCCCTTCACAGAAGGCAGGGAGCTGCTGGGTCATCATGTAGGGAGGCGTCCCCGGCTCTGTAGGCTGTGGAAGTGGGCTTCCTTCAGGATCTGGTTGATGTGGAAGTAAGGACCTTGGCTTAGTGCAGACTGCTCGTGGAAGGGCTGGGAGGAGACGGGGCTGGATCCCGCAATGCTGGGGTTGAGGCTGGACTCTGCACCACACGCTCTGTCGGGGCTGTTGATGCTGCTGCTGCAGCTGCTGCTGCTGCCGCTGTCGCTGCTGGAGGACTGGGACACACAGAGGGTGAACAGCAACATCAGACACTCCTCTCCTGCCCTCGCCCCTCTATGCCAACCCCCTCCCCTCCAGCTTGTCAGCCCCACGGACTGAAGTAAATCCCCCTGGCATTACCAGGTTGTTGTTGCCAACACAAGTGTCCCAGAGCTGAGGGGGCAATCCTTCACCCGGGGCTCGCTGACCTCCAGGATGTTGGATTTCAGCCTTTCTGGTTTAAACCCATCAGCTCTGCCCCCAAACCCACATTAGCACTAGTGAAGTTTGCTGGATTAATCCGAGAATTGGAAAATAAAGAACATTCCTAGGGAGCTGCATGTGTCAGTACAGGCAGGCAGGGCAGGGGGGGAGCTGGAGTTTGGCACTGCTGTTGTAGCAGAGGCTTTACGGGAGCATCATGCAAAGCCTTTTCTACAAGACAACCCCTCTAAAGTGAGATCTGGAGCATCCAAAGCAAGAAGCTGTTAAAAAACAAGTGCACCATGACACCCATTTTAAGTCTTTGAACACCTTGACAGAGATACAACTACTCTTCTCCCAGCAGAGTACTGGGATGGCAGTGTGAACTAGTAGTGTCCCATAACAATTCCACGACAATTCACTGGACAGGACAGTAAAAGAGCAAAAGCCACTGAAAGATTCCATATGCAGCAGAGAGAACTCAGGATATGGTCCCAGAGAGGCCAAGGCTCATTTGCCAGCATTCAGGATAACCACATTTCATGGGAATGGCTGGAAGAGCATTAGCCATCATTCTCAGGCATTCAAAGACATCAAACTGTTCAGCTCACAGCATTTTAAGGGCTGCTAAGGAAAGGTTCCAGCAGCTGAAATATTTTATTACTGTGTGATGTGCTGGTCAGGACCTGCAAATATTTGGGTGAATCAATCAGTGAGTGGCTACTCTGCCATCCCATAAGTAAATTCGCACAAGCATCCAGAGCAAGTGAGAGCAGCAAAAAACTCCACGTTTTTCTGAGTATTGAGCCACAGAAGTCAAAGCTTTGTGCCACAGCAGAGGAGGACGAATTTCAAGAAGCCCCCAGTGATTTTCCAGTCAGCACCACATCCAGAAGGAGGCAATCTGAGGAATGGTGCAAACTGCACCTGACGTGTGTCCAAGGCCCAGGAAGGCACTGTGGATGTTTGGGGTGGACCACAACCCCTGGCACTGACCCACCAGGACCATCCAGCCCTACCAGAGCCCCCTGTTTTGCTAAGCACCAAAAACGCTTCAGCTCTGATGGAGCACAGCAAGCCAAGCCAGGGGCCCTGAGGAGAAACACCCAGGGGGAGTCATTCCCGAGGAAGCACAGATGGAACTACAGGAACAACCAGCTCCTCCTCCTAAAGCTGCTAAGTCTAGAGAGGGAGAGAGCCCTGGCAGGACAGCAGGAGCCAGGAAAGGCACTGGCCACCCTCTTGCCCAGCAGCACAGAGGGACACGCGATGCTGTTACGCCGAGTGAGCCACAGCAGCCTTGGAGAGAAACCCACCGCACAGGACACTTTGTTTCCTTTTAGTCTGCGTTCCTTACTGAGTTTCGTTACAGCCACCTTCTGCAAATCAAGGTAAAAAGCCAAATGAGAACCCGGCGTCACCCACTGCTCCCGTTTCACACCCCAACAAACCATTTCCAGCTGTTAGTAACAGTTACTTTGTGCATGTCCGGGTTTTTCAAAGCTGGCAGAGTGTCCTGGGAAGTGCTTCTTGCACCTAAGGCTGTTGACAGATGTCAGGGCTTGTCAGACCCTCTTTATTTCCAGTTCTCTAATGCAAAAAGTTCACTAGCACCAGCACCCCTTTATCACTGCCCCAATCCCATCGAAGACCTACCATTTCCCCAGGCTGTGGTGCACTTTCTGTTACGCATTTGGACTACAATTAGACAAGAAAAGAATCCTTGAAGTCATCATGTCAGCAATGGCAGGCATCTACACAGTGCAACAAAGCTTCAAAAGGGCAGAGGGGAGCAGCCCAGTGAAATTTGGGACTACTTTAACTATCAAAAGGGCAGCTTCAAGGTTTACTGGACTCATTAACCCTTAACATCACTCAGAGTAGCTACACAAGGTTCATTTCCAAACAGATGTGCTGTTAAATGTATCAATGTGCAGATCTGTGGCAGCATCTCGGACCCTCCTGACAGGAACTGCAGGAACAGCCACCCTGCTGCTCTCAGACTCCCCCAAGATGAGTTTAACAGAGACATGGTCTGCTTTTCACTTAGGATTTTAGACCTTCCTCAACAGAGGGGGACACGATTTGATTCGAGCAGGAACTGCTGCCATGGGCTGATAACCCAGCTGTGTTTCCAAGAGCTGGGGAATCCTCACATCAGCCAGGACAAAGAGGAACCACGAGAAATTCGGGTTTACAGAAGTTATTCAGGAAGGAAGGAGTCAGCCAGAACACCCTGACCCGCTTCCTTCCCAGGGAAAATCAGGGCAAAGGGTTTTTCACTGGTGATTCCTCAGGTTCTTCAACTCCTCCCGACTCACTGTAGGGGCCAGCAATGAATTTCTAACCAGAGAGAGGGAAAACAGCCCAGCTGATCTCCTGGACAAGGGAGGACAGGCTGAACAGGAAGGGAGGTTCCGTGGCAGAGGCTCTGCCTCGCTAATGTTTAACGTTGGCCGTGGTTCCAGTGAGGTGTTTGCCCTGTGCCAGTCCCTGCACTGAACTCCAGAGGCTTCCTGTCCCCCCAGGGAGGGAGCCTGTCACCTGGGAGTGGCTTCTCCAGGAGAGGCAGGAATGGCACATCCTTACAGCAATTTGCCAAGAAGCAGCACTGAGAGAGATTGAAGAGAATCCCAGTTTCCCTCCTGTAAAAGTCAGTCAGGGGTGCTGCCTGTCCTGGGTGAAAGGACAATCCAGTGGGAGAAAACAGCAAATCCTTTGGAATCAGCTCTAGCTCAGGTGAGCAGCAGGATTCAAAGTGAGGGGCTGAGGGATAACATCACAATCAGCCCATGTTGGAACTGCCACTAAGGAAAAAACCTCCCTTCATCTCACTCTTCAGACCAATATGTGTTAAGACAAAAAAAAAATGGGAAGAGATCCTGCCAAAAGCCAAGTCCTGTTTAAAAACACAGCTGCCTGATTGTCACAGTGGGGTGATGTTCCCAACTGACCTCACTCTGCAAGAGGAAACATTCACTTAAGAGTTGGACTCAATCATCCTTGTGGGTTCCCTTCCAACTCGGAATATCCTGTGATTCTGTAACTCCCAAATAAAAAAGGCCACAGGAATCAGGACTTGAGGTGATGTTTCACAAAAAGCAGGGGTGTGATGCCCTGTGATGGAAAGCGACTCTCAGTGTGCTCTCAGAAGTCACAATTTTCTCCCCCACACACTTTCCAGCTCAATATCCTAGAGCCAGTGAGAATTTTTAATCATCAAGAGGTGTCTTTGCAAACAGCAAAGTATCAGGAAACTAAATAAGAGTGCTACAACGGGCTGAGACTTTCCAAGCGACACCAATCGGAAGCACTTGTGCACAATGAGCACGAGGATTTCTCCCTTTGGCACAGGAAGTCCTTCACAAACATTCAAATAATACTGATTTAATCTCATGGCTTGAATTTCTGGGCATGCTCAGTTCTGTGATCCAGCAAGAAAACAAGGGGGGGAAAAAAAAAAAAAAAAGAGAAAAAGCTCTATTCATGAGGAGACAACATTGTGAGTTGTGTCCCCTGGGGAGAGGGGCCGGTGCTGTTTGGAAAGCTGTGTGTGTCCAGTGGGCACATTCCTCAGCAGTGAGAGCTCCCCCCTGCCTCACACCAGGCTTTAATGTGTTAAACCCAGGCTTTTTCAAGGCAAGAGCATGCAAGAAGCACAGTCTCTGTTAGCCTGAGCAGTGACCTTGCCCAGGGTCAGCCATGCCCGTGCTGCTCCCTTCCAGCACCCAAACACCCAGCACAGGGTTAAGGTCACCCCTCCCGTGGGGCCACAAAACCACTGCCAGTCCTGCTTTCCGTGGCTCTGCCCAAACACCAGGTGTTTACACGACAAGCAAAGGTGCTTCTGGCCACTCACCATCCAGGTTTTTCCTGATATCCTTAATTTCATTACTCCCACTTCAATCCCTCGTTCCACACTAAATTCTTCCTCCTCCCGCCACAAAGCTGCTTTAGCCTTTAACTACTCTACACACACGGAGGGGTTTGACCTGTTGGACAAGTGATTCGGTGTCAGATGGCAACAAACTAGCGATGGTTCTCCCCTCACACCCAAAAATGCAAAGTCTCACTCCTGGAAAAAGAGCAACACGCGAACCAGGAGAGTTTCAACCCCAGAAAATTCCCTCATGAAGAACATCACCTCTTAAACCACTGCCCAGCAGTGTCACTGTCACACCAGCTACTTGTACAGGTGACCAGGTTAAAAGAGCCTCCCTCGCAACAGGAATGTACAAATACACATTTGAAACCATTTCCATATTATAAAAGAGCTCAAAGTTACACAGCATTAAATATTTTCTGCAAAGAACAGTTAAGAGTTCGACAGAACTGCAATAATTCAGTTAATTCAGTAATAATTCAGACTGTAATTACTCATCACAGTCCCCCTTCAAAGTAAGAAGGCTTTACAAAAACAAGGGTATTTCAAAAACCTTAAAAGAAATTAATTTCATTGACTTCCAGGGGCACAGACCAGGAGGGAGCCTCTGCTCTGCACCCTCTTTTCCATGAGTGTTTTGCAACAGAAGGACACTGCTTAGCAGAAATGCTCACAGTGAATTTTCAGGTGATTCATACGGGCAACAACTCAGGAAACCTGGCAGCAGTTGGGAAATCAGCATTTTTTTGAAGCAAATAAACCCCACAGCTCACAACTTCCACCAAGAGAACACCTGTCTGGTGAGGGGTAAGAAAACATGAGACAGTTTATCCCATGTCCACCAAAAAAAACCCCCTGGAAAATATGAGTAAAAACCAAATTGTTTGAGTCCAAACATCTTGGCTGTGAACAAGCAAGTTTTGCTTCAACTGACCAGTTCTAGCAGAGTGTTTTTTAAACACCAGATAAGCACTGGTTGGATTTACTTTTTTATACTTTCTACCACAAATAATCACCTAAATATAAGTAAATGCAAAGCTGGAGAGTAGGTTGGGCAAAGTGACCACACACACTCGTGATCCACCCTCATCATCAGCTCAGCTCTGGACACAACTCATCTCACACAGCAAAACTGGACGGGGCAGCAAATTGTTTCCTCGTGTCTTCACTTGCATTTGAATATTTGAATATTTGAAATATTCAGGCCAGGGATAACCAGGTTCACTGGAAACATGCTGATTTCCCAACCACCTTTTACAGATTCCAATCCCCGATGTCACAAAGTCAAACCTCCCGACCTCACACACAAAGCTGAGGAAAAAAATGAAGTGTTTTCATAACTGCTCTCCATGAAAATATTCACAGGATACTCAGCAAGGAAGGAAACTGCATTGGCCTGGGAAGGCTCTCACCTCAGTGTCCCACGAGTCCTGCAGGACAGAATTCCTGGTGCTACGTTTTGTCTGGGGAACGTGACCATCCTCTTCATTGCCATTCCTTCTCCTCTTCCTGAAGGAAAATTCAGGGAGAATGGGAGAAAACAAATTATCAGCCTACTGATATACCTTCTGGTTTGTTCTCTGAAGGCACCTCTACCAAAAAAAAAAGGAAAGTTTGGTAAATTACTGAAGGATGTATCCAAGCCCCTGAGGTGCTGTGGACTCCCACATTGTCCTTTTAGCTGCTGTTGGAGGGGAGAGACAAAAGGATCCTGTTTCTCACAAGAAATCAGTTTTAAGGGACATGGACTCACATTAAAACCATCTTTCCAAATAAACTCATTGAACAATTCTCAGCCTTGCACATCTAAAAATAATCCTGGGCCCTGGAGTGACAGCCGGGAACAGGATGAGTGGCAGTGACCACATTTCAATAAACACCCAATTAATTCACCCTGCTCACATGAGCCTGCACTCAGCACCCACGATTTCTCGAGTCTCTCCACTCTGGCAGCTTTTGAAGCCAAGTCACGTTCCTGAGCAACATTATTTTCCGTGAAAATATTAAGTTTTGTCAGGAAACACCCCGCAGAAAACAAACCCTTCCCTGTTTCTGGTGTAGCTGCCACCCTCCCATGGCAGCCTGTACTGTCTGGCCTGATAAGTAAGAGTTCTAACACACCAACGACCTAATTTTTATCCAGATCTTTGCAGGCATCAATGCAAAGGGGGGTTTGAAGGAGGGTAATGGGATGGGGGTGGTGCTGATATTCCCATATTAGAGACAATACAGGGAAGACCTCAAAGGCCAGGTTGGACAGGGCTTGGAGCAACCTGGGCTAGTGGAAGGTGTCCCTGCCCATGGCAGGGGTGGGACTGGATGGGCTTTAAGGTCCCTCCCAACCTAAACCATGGTTCTGTGACATCAACCCAGCAGCTGATCCACAGCATCATCCCAGAATTCCCGTCCCCTGAGCCCACAGAATTTTAATGCTGACATCAAAGGCTTCTTCCCACTGTACAAACATGACAAGTCACCCAGGATCTCAGCACCATCCAAAGCACAGGATGGAGCTCTGCTGGTGCCTAAAATTAATCCATGCTCGAATGAGTCAAAACAGGCTCGGGGGAGGTATTTTTAGCCGGATCTTTTCTCACAGACAGCACACTCAGCTGCGGGATCTGGCCCACGCCCACAGCCCAGAGCTCCCCCACCCCCGGGGCCACAGACACCAAACCCCGTCCAGCGGCTCCCCCCTCTCCCAGCACCACTGTCCGTGGAAGGGACACGTCTGTGTTGCCTCTGGATCCCTCCTTCCCTCAACCCCTCCAGGTCAGGTTGGACGGGGCTTGGAGCAACCTGGTCCATGGAAGGTGTCCCTGCCCACGGCAGGGGGTGGCACTGGATGGGCTTTAAGGTCCTTTCAGCCCAAACCATTCCATGACCCCACCGCCCCACAACCCTGGGCACAGCCCGGCTCCCACATGCCCCGTGGTCCCTCTGCTTTCTCCCTCACCACCTCCCCTTCCCCACCGATCCCATAAACACCCCCGGAGCCCCCCGCACCCTCCGCATCCCCTACGCCCCTTCGACCTCCCGATCGCACCCAACGCCCCCTACCCAAACCCCCACCTCCCCAGCCCCACTTTACCCCCTCCCGGCGCCCCGGGGACCGCTCCCCGCTCTCCCCCTCCCTCCCCTCCGCCTCAACCCACCCCCTCCACCGCCCCCCCCGCCCCTCCCGGTGCGGTGCCCTCGGGGCCGCTCCAGGAGGCCCCCTCGCCCTCCTCCCCCGCCCTCAGGCCGTGCTCCCCTCGCCCACCTCTGTCTGGCTCCGCGCTCGCTCGGCAGCGGCTGCCGGCAGCTCATGGCGGCGCGGGGGCTGTGAGGGGGCTGCGGGGGGTCTCTGAGGGCGGGGGTGTCTCTGAGGGGTCTCTGAGGGCTGGGGGGGGGGGCAGCGCGGCCCGGCCCGGCCCCGCCGCCGCTTCCGCCGCCGCCGCCTCGCCCCCGTGACGTCACAGCGCGCGCCCGCGCGGGGGGCGGGGCCGCGCCTTTGTGACGTCACGGCCGCGCGCCGGTCCCGGGGGCGTGGAGGGAGGGGGGGGGCGGTAATGGCGGAGCCGGGACCGGGAACGGAGCGGTGCCCGCACTGCCACAGGGCCTTCAAGCGGCTCCGCGCCCACCTCCCGCACTGCAAGGCCGCCCCGCGGAAAGGACCGGGATCGGGAACGGCAACGGGAGCGGAAACGAGCCTCCGCACGGGCCCCGGCAACGCACCGGGATCGACACCGGCACCAGCACCTGGATCGGCATCGGGACCGGGAGAGAGGCTCCGCCCGGCCCCCACCGCTGCTCCGGGGTCAGCACCGAGCCCAGGTCCCCGCCCGGCCCCCGCCAGCTCTTCGGGATCGGGACCGGGAGCGAAAAGGAGAACGAGCCCAGCCCCCGCCACCACTCCGGGGTCAGCACCGAGCCCGAGTCCCCTCCCGACCCCCACCAGCACTTCGGGATCGGCACCGGGAGCAGGATCGGCACCGGGAGCGGGAGCGAAAAGGAGAACGAGCCCGGCCCCCGCCACCGCTCCGGGGTCAGCACCGAGCCCGAGTCCCCTCCCGACCCCCGGCCCGGCCACCGGCAGCGTCCCCGGGCCGAGCTCAGCCCCGAGCCCCCGCCCGGCCACCGGTACCGACCCCGGGCCGGGTCTCGGCACCCCCAGGACCGACCGGGATGTGGAGCCCGCGGTGCAGGACGTGGCCAGAGCCCTGGATCTGCTCCCCGAGGAGGTGGAGGATGTTCCCCAGAGGCTGGAGAATGGAGTGAAGGTGGTGATTGAGAAGCACCGTGCCAGGGTGATCAGGGAGAAGAAGCCCAGGAGCGGGGCAGGAGCAGCAGGAGGGACGGATCCCGGCCGTGCTGCCCACCCACAGCGGGGCAAAACCACTCCAAAATCCACACACGCAGAGACTCAGAGCCTGGGGGCTGTGAGGGGCGTGCCCGGGAGCAAAAAGGGAGGAAAAAGCAGCTTAAAGGCAAGAAAAGTACTTGAAGAACCCCCCAAAGGCAGAAATAGCCCCAGTGACCTCGTTCAGCAGGAGAGAACAGACAAATCCGTGGCAGGAGAGGAGCAGGTGCACCGGGAAGTTGGTGTGGGATATAAAGCCCCTGTGTCTGCTTTGCATCCCAAGAACCTCCATCTGTCAGCGACGGAGGGTTTGGGAGGTCACAGTGAAGGGCCATCCAAGAATGAGCTCAGCAGCCTGGAGAGGCTCAGGGACAGCAGGGAGCAGATGGTTGGAGTGTCCGAGCCCATCCTGGGCACAGGGAGAGACCCAGGGCTGGCCCTGCACCAGTCCTGGCTCCACTCTCCCAAATTCCAGCCCACCTGTTCATCCCAGGCCTCTGGCAGGAGCACCTGGGCAGGAGCCACAGGCTTGGAGTGGTTTCCAGACTTGTATCCTGAGCGTGAGGGGCTGAGGATCTTTCCAGGGAAGCATTTCCAAGAAGATGTGGGGATCTCAGTGAAGACACCAAGGGGCAGTTTCTCAGAGGGACATCGAGGTAACCAAAGTCTCTGTGCTGGGATTTGCTGCACTGTCAGGCTGGAATGGGAGGTGTGAATGGGAGAGGAGGGGTAGGGATTGCTGACCTGCTGGGCTTGTCCAGGAAGGGACCCAGGAGAAGCCAAGGAAGTCAGCTGTGCCTCCTCCAGCCTGCAAAGCCAACGGTTCATGTTCTTGTCTGGGTTGGAGTCAGGTTCTTGCACATTTTGGCTGCTGGAGCCCAAACTTTGTCTGTGGGACAGACAATTCCCTCTCCGCTTCCAACCCCAAATCCCATATCAGCTCCCAGCTCCCCACACAGCACAGGGAGCACAAACACCCCACACCTTGTGCTGCCTGTGCCCACTGTGACTGTCACCCCCCAGGTCCCCTCTCGGAGAGGCCCCTGATGGAGGTGAGGTTGGGGGAGCTGCACTCCTGGATCAGCACCTGCGACTTCTCTCCCCAGGGCCTGCTTGGAGCAGTGCAGAAAGGTGAGAGTTCCAGCCTTCTGGGGCAGAGTCATCCCCCTCCGCTGATTTAGTTGCTGCAGCCTCATCCAAGTGGCCACCCTGGGTCTTTATAAAGCAGCAAATCATGGACTGGTCTGGGTTGGAAGGGACCTTAAAGCTCATCCAGTTCCACCCCTGCCATGGGCAGGGACACCTTCCACCAGCCCAGGTTGTTCCAAGCCCCATCCAACCTGGCCTTGAACACTTCCAGGGATGGGGCAGCCACAGCTTCTCTGGGCAACCTGTGCCAGGGCCTCCCCACCCTCCCAGGGAAGGATTCCTTCCCAATATCCCACCTAACCCTGCCCTCTGTGTGAATAAATGAACAGACCCAACATTCTGGCTTTGGAAAATTGCACAGAAACCAGGGAATTCCAAAGACCAGCACATGATTTGTCCCTTTCCTTTGTCTCCCAACAGCCTGGAACAGTTATTATGCCAAATACATCAACGTGAAGAGGGGGGGACACACTGGGATCTCCATGCTCCTGACTGGGTACTGCCTGCTCAGCTACAGCTGGAACTATCAGCACTTCAGTAAGATTTCCTGCTTGGGGTCTCTCTTATTTCAGGCATTCTCCCTCTTGCAGCAGTTTGGAAGTCTATTTACCATTCCTGTTAATTAAAGCTCTGGAATAATTTAAATACTCCACAGTTAAGACCAATATCAGAGCTGAGAGAGCAGGATTCTGGAGGTAAGCAGAGGAATTTAGTCACTAAAAGTGTTGATAACAGTTGCTTACTTACAGCTTCTCCCTGGGGAGCACCAGGAATGTCAGGAGCACTTTGAAACCCTGCACAGAGCAGAGGGAGGAGATGTTCCAACACAGAGCTCCTATTCCCTGGATTTCCTCACAAGTGACAAGGGGTTTGCTGGTGGTGGGGTGGTTTCCCCTTGCTCATGCACAGAGAAGCTATAGTGAGGCTCATCAGGAACTGGGGGCCCCAAACATCCCTTTGTGCTGACACTGGAATGTTTTCTTCCCTGTTTTTCCAGAGCGTCACCGCTGGC